AATAGAGCCCAAGAGGCCAGTTGGGCTATTACCATTGGGACACTAGTACTGGATATCTCCAAAAGGTGCAAATACTAGAGCCTTCCTTGAGAGTTGGTAATGATTTGGAAGTGGAGAGATAAAAGAGGAAAATAAAAGTGTCACAGAAGCCAAGGGAAAAGAAACTTTCAAGGAGATTATCAAGTGTCAAATGCCATAGAGAACTGATAAAATCCTGTTGGATATTGGAACTAAAGGGAGATACTAAGAGGACAGCAGTGTCAAAGGAAAAGTTCTTTGAATAGGAGAGACCCGAACATATGTGTAAGCCAAAATGAAAGAAATCAGCAGTGAATATTATTCAGGAGATTGATGGATACCAGAGAAAACTGTAGTAGTGTTATAGAAATACAAACTTCCTTTCCACTTTAGTAGTGCCCAAGATAATGCTGAACTCATAGCAGACATTCAGATATGTGCTTACTGAATGAACAATGATGACTCTGAACTTGGAAAGCCTCAATGAACCTGTCATTCCAACTGGCTATATTAAGTCCTTTGTATTCTTGTTCTGTAGTAGCTCAGCCTATAATGCAGGCTTCAGCAAATGTGAAAGCAAATCTTTATGCATGATGTGAATTTAATAGAAGCATTAAGCAAATCAGAATGTGAAAATAAATGGGATTTGTCGTTTTCCTTTACTATCCCTTTGACAAGAATCTATTCTGTTCCAGATTTACAGAAAGACTTTTAAAGATAACAGCTCTCCTCAAACCAATGTAGATGTCTTCTAGCTTCAAGAATCAAATACTTCAGGTGCCTGGGTGGCTCAATCGGTTGGGTGTCTGCCTTCGGCTCAGGTCATGATCCCAGGGTCCTGAGATCGAGTCCCGCAGTAAGCTCCCTGCTGAGCAGGGAGTCGGCTTCTCCCTCTCCCTCTGCCCCTCCCCCCTGCTCATGCTCTCTCTCTCTCTCTTTCAATCAGTAAATAAAAATTCTTAAAAAAAATCAAATACTTCAAGAGCCATTTAATAAATATTATAGAACCATAATGTGTCTTAATGCTCAAAGCAAAATTTCCTTTTCTTGAAAAATTATGGTAAAAAGATTCCTGAGGCCACCAAAGGAGAGTGTCCAGGTTTCTGGAAGGAGCAATAATGGGAGGAACAAGTGAATTGTAGATACATATTGTAAAAGTTAATATTATACTAAGATTTTTGATATACCTTTTACCAGTTGCCATATGTATCTTCATATACTTTTACCAGTTGCCATATGTAGAGGCAAGTGAGCAGTAATATGCCCAAGACTTTAATCTCAGCTCACTAGATATAGCCTCCTTATTTCTGGACTGAATATTGTAGGTGCATGAGAGCTTTATCCTTAAGTCTTAGACAATTATACCTGGAGTATGTATTCTGTCACTTCTAATTTTGCTTACTGATATTTTTATTGGTCAGGCCACATCCCACTGCCTATCTTTTAAAAATCATTTTAAACTGGGCATCTAAACATACCAAAACTTGAGTTCAAAAGATATGACTTACTAGATTACAACAGGGGTTGGTAGAGTGTTTTTTACAACTGTTGCATTTGTAGCTCTTGACTTCCTTCTTCAGAAAAAAATTGGATTAGTCTGCACCATAAAGAAACAACTTAGAATAACAAATTTCACCAACATAAAATCTGTTTTAGTTGTCAAAACACTTCCCTTTCTACATATCCAGATACTTAATTGTAAAGGTTTTGTTTCTTCCATAGTTGATTTTTTTTTTGAAAGTGTCAATTTCTCTTGCCTAGTTTTACAACCAGTCTAAACAAAATAGCCATTCTGGATTACAGTTCATCTTCTGAGAAACACTGAGAAGTCAAGCTATCAGGCTGGTGCTTTCTATGATTTATGAAAATTTTCCTTCCTCGGGCGCCTGGGTGGCTCAGTCGTTAAGCGTCTGCCTTCGGCTCAGGTCAGGATGCCAGGGTCCTGGGATCGAGCCCCGCATCGGGCTCCCTGCTCCGCAGGAAGCCTGCTTCTCCCTCTCCCACTCCCCCTGCTTGTGTTCACTCTCTCGCTGTGTCTCTTTCTGTCAAATAAATAAATAAAATCTTAAAAAAAATTTTTTTTCCTTCCTTTGCATTTCCTTTAACATTGCTTTCTCTATAGCCACACATTTTTTTTTAATCTTTTGGTTTATATATATAAAACACTTTACAATGTGGTCAACACACTGCAATGCCTTGCATTTCCTTCTCTTTTCTAATTTTTAAAAAAAAAACATTAAAGACCATTGTGCAAAATTCCTCATTTGAGCCTCTATTTACTGTGTATTGTTCAGTTTTTAGGTTAGGAAAACAGTGAGCCAGTTAAAATTCCTGAATACAAAATTACTAAAGACTCAGTCCATCTTGGGCGCCTGGGTGGCTCAGTCGTTAAGCATCTGCCTTCGGCTCAGGTCATGATCCCAGGGTCCTGGGATCGAGTCCCACATCGGGCTCCCTGCTCGGCGGGAAGCCTGCTTCGCCCCCTCCCACTCCCCCTGCTTGTGTTCCTGCTCTGTCTCTCTCTCTGTCAAATAAATAAATAAAATCTTAAAAAAAAAAAAAAGACTCAGTCTATCTTAAGAACTCAGAACGAGAGTATAAAGACTGGCATTATGCTTTCAACAAGAGATGTTTCAAGCTTCCAATATGTCTACCATTAAAGTATCTTAATGCTTTAATATTAAAGCTCTTGGATAAAGTTGAACATATTGTACTCATGTAAAAGAAATGTTTTTGCACTGTATGCTAACTGGAATTTAAATAAAAATTTAAAGAATTAAGGGGCGCCTGGGTGGCTCAGTTGGTTAAGCGACTGCCTTCGGCTCAGGTCATGATCCCGGGGTCCTGGGATCAAGCCCCGCATCAGGCTCCCTGCTCCGCAGGAAGCCTGCTTCTCCCTCTCCCACTCCCCCTGCTTGTGTTCCTGCTCTCACTGTCTCTCTCTCCGTCAAATAAATAAATAAAATCTTTAAAAGAAAAATTAAAGAATTAAAAAAGTAAGTCCTTTTTTTTTTTCAAAATAAATGTTTGGTTCTTGAAGATAGCAGAAATATGCTCAAAAACTACTGACTTCCCTATTCTCTGATTTTACCAACTCATCCACATATGAGAATTGTAGAAACAAAGGGCACAGAACTGACTTCCATCTCCAAACTTGCCCAATTTATAAAGAAATCCAAAGAAAGAAAATAATCCTTCCGTAGTCATTAACAACAGAGAGAAGAGTCAGTGGCTTGATGGAAAAGAAAGTGAAATGGTCAAAATAGCTTTACTTGTCTAAGAAGATGATTGGCTACTGCTGGCCCTTTCTTCTGAAGGTAAATGGACTGTGCTGACAAATCTTCCAGATCACATATTTACTTAGAAAAAATAATAGTAAGCACTTTTTAAGTAATGTACATATAGTACCTAATTTTCCTAACAATCCTATGAAGTAGCTACTATATCCCCATTTTTTAGATGAGGAAACTGATCACAAACGGTTTAATTAAATTGCCCAAGGTCACTATGAGGTGACTAAGCTGTGATTTGGAGTACAGCTACAGAGTCGATGTATTTATTTATTTCAGTAATCTCTGTACCCAGCATGGGGCTTGAACTCATGAACCTGAGATCAAGAGGTGTATGCTCTTCCAACTGAGCCAGCCAGGCACCCCTACATAGTTCATCTTCTTAATCATTCCACAATATTGCCTCCCCTATCCGAAAAAAATTTCAGAATTTCTCATTGCTGGTAAACTCCACTATTTAATTTAATCCTAATTTATTAATCCTCACTTCACAAGTAGTTTTCAGAGCATAACATCACTGCTTCCCTTAAAAGGCAGCCACAATTGTCCTAAAGACTTTACCTCAAATAGTGCTAGCTGATTTAGGTAATGTATTTGTTGAGTCCTTTTATAGGGCTGAGAGAGGGCACAGGGATCAGGACCCATGGCTTTTCATTAACAAAACATTGAATTTACATTCTACTTTCAGGAATCTTAACTGTGTAAAGCATGAGTTCTTAACGTGGGGGCTGGGACTACTAGAACGGATGAGTTTCAGGATATCTATTTGCCCAAAACAGGCAAAAAGAATTGTATATGTGCCTATGTTCTTTCTTCTGAGGAGTGTAATCTAATAGTTTCAACATCGGTCTAAATTGTGTATTCCAAAAATAAAATAATTGAGAGAGTTAACCTAAGTCACTGCTACCTTACAATGATGTGACTACAATCTGCGGTGTTCGATATTATTTCGTTTCTCCTATTTCCCTGCATTAGTTGAAAAGGGGAAATCAAAAAGTCACTCTAATACCGCTTTGGCTACTTTACTGACCAGAGGACAGAGGATGCTTCTCTCATTACAATTTCCCTTCGGATATCAAAAATGCCTCTACTTAGGGGCCTGGGTGGCTCAGTCCCTAAGCGTCTGCCTTCGGCTCAGGTCATGGTCCCAGGGTCCTGAGATCGAGCCCCCATCGGGCTCCCTGCTCGGCGGGAAGCCTGCTTCTCCCTCTCCCACTCCCCCTGCTTGTGTTCCTTCTCTCGCTTTGTCTCTCTCTGTCAAATAAATAAATAAAATCTTAAAAAAAAAAAAAAATGAGGGCGCCTGGGTGGCTCTGTCGTTAAGCGTCTGCCTTCCGCTCAGGTCATCGAGCCCCGCATCAGGCGCCCTGCTCCTCGGGAAGCCTGCTTCTCCCTTTCCCACTCCCCCTGCTTGTGTTCCCTCTCTCACTGTGTCTCTCTCTGTTGAATAAATAAAATCTTTAAAAAATAAAAAAATAAATGCCTCGACTTAGGGGACGGGAAAGGGTCGGCTATCTAGGGAGTGAGCTGAGGTTCCGGCCAGGCCACCGCGTCCTGTTCTGAATTCTTACCCTTATTTAGACCTCGTCACCACCCCCGTCCGGGAACAGCAAAACGGGTCACTTGTTAAAGGAAGTGACTGCCGGCCGCTCCTGACCCGGAATCGGATCCTGGTCCCGCCCACTCCGCCAGGCTTCCTTCTGCAACAGGCGTGGGTCACGCTCTCGCTCGCTCTCTTTCTGCCGCCATCTTGGTTCCGCGTTCCCCTCACAGTAAGTCTTATCTTTGCCGCTAGTCTCTATCCGCAGCCATCCGCCTTCCTTGCGGACTAAGCCGCCCCAGAGACTGAGAGCTAAGGGAAGTTGGAGGCTTTATGGGGCTACCGGGTTCCCACTCGGCCCTGGGAAGTGTGGCCTTGGGGCCTCCCGACAAAATGGGGTCTGCGGTGGATGTCCTGGCAAAAGCAGGGCAGAAAGGCCGCGTGCGGGGCCTGGAGGCCAGGGCTGGGGAGATAGAGCTGTTGGGGTGCGTGGGGGCGGAAGCGGAGTGCGTCGCCTGTTGGGAACGGCTTCACGAGAATCCAAAGGAGGTTAAGAGGGTCACAGCCTTGGAACAGCTCCCCCCCACACACACAAACACGCCGTTCTTAATTGTGACAAGCGAGTGTTGGGACTTAAGGCACCGTCTACCCTCTCCTGGTTCCCGAAAGTCGGCAAACGGGAGACCTGGCGGTCCCAGCGCAGGCGGCGTTGAGTGTAGGAGAGGAGGTGGTGGGGAGGTGGTGCAAGGTAGCGTTTGAATTCGCCGGTGGTCGGGAGCCAGACCGGAATCCTCTCCCTCGGGTTGAGAACGCAGTGGTGATTGTTGCCGTTGTGGGATTTGGAGTGTAGAGTGAAAGGAACCCCTGGGCACTAGAAGTCTGTTCTCTGCGGAGTAAAGAGAGGTAGAAGGTGATTCGCTTGATCAGAGATCTGAGGGTCACGTCTTATTTCTTACCTATTCCCAGCTGCTTTGGGGAGGATTGTCCCGAAACACCCTCACGGTTTTTTTTTTTTTCTTAACAGCAGAGTTTTTAAGAATATTTGACTCTGGGTTGGGCAGCAGAACGGATCCTAGTCAATTCAGGCCTCCTTTTTATTCCCTTCAGAAATGCCTGGTGAAGCCACAGAAACCGTCCCTGCTACAGAGCAGGAGTTGCCACAGCCCCAGGCTGAGACAGGTAGGTTCCCCTAGCCCCCTTACTGTTCATAAAATTGTAAGACTGACCCTAAGACCATTTGGTGGGTTAAAATGGCAAAGGGAATACACTCCGGTTTTTCAGAGTTAACTCATTATAAAGATGGCTGTAGCTTTACCAGGGAGGAGAATCCATGATACTAACTGCCGTCCTGAAGGGACTTCATTAGAGGATGGAATATAAACAGTATATTTAAGATCCAGGAGCATAAAAAGCTCCCAGGCTTGCTTTGTAGGCTATGGCAACTGCCTCACAGGGCATTCTGTGGAGCCCTCACGACACACAAAAACTGAGCAGGGAAGGGGCTTGGTGATTCTTACCTATTGGAACTGGATGACACACTTGCAGGCCAAGGAGACCTGAGCTTTTGTGAAGTTCCAGCCAGCAAGTTGCATCAAGGTTTTAGATGGCAGAGCTTGGCATTGCGCCTTCATCACATGTCTGGATGAGATGTGTGCTGGTGGTAAATGTGTCCTACTGGGCCCCAGGGCCCTCCTAGGTTGGTTAACTTATTTTATGGGTTGGTGCTAAGATGTTTCTAGTGTGCTGGAATAGTGCCTGCATCAACAGCTTGCCTGGAACCCAAGATTGAAATAGAGCTTTCCTTTGACTGTTCTTCAGCTTTGAAATTGATGGATATAAATATAGTGTAAAGGCAAGTTTTGAATTCTGGTTAAAATACTTCTCTAGAAAACTTAGAGGGGGTAGTGAAAAAATATTTAGTGATGTTCTTCTTGTTGCACCAGTTGTGCTGAAATAAATGAAGGGAATCTTCAGGCTGTAACTTCCATCATCACTTTTTCTTATTATAAATTATTTTTTTAACTCCACCTGTCACTTAAGGGCAATTCTTTTCCCCTTCTGGAATTAAAATAGAGTTGTTTATAGTTGAAAGCATTGAGGTTCTCTCTCCCCACCTGTCTGATTTTAGCAGCTGAAGGGATTAATACAGCTGCTAGAAAAGAAAAAGGAGGGGGCCTCTAAGCTAGTGAACAAGCTATATGAAATCCTTGAAGTACAAGGGACTTAATGGAAGGAAAAATAAAGGACTGGTCTGTAAAGATCCAGTGCTAACCAAAACCTTATTGAACAATTTGATTTTACAAATGTGGAGACTGAAATAAAGATGAATTTAGAATAATCTGGTTTCAAGCTTCATGCCATTTCCTTCTGAAGTCATCCTGGAGTGCTGTTAAGCTTATTTCCGAATAGTTTGAGCTTGCACAGTAGGTTTAGTAATACTAAGGGAGTGCCAGTGGTAAAACTCTGAATTTTTTCTATAACTGTAACTAAGTAATTATTATAACGAATGCAAAAACTAGCCCAAGGAACTGGTTATTGTGTCTAAAGCAAGTAAATTGGGCCTTATCCCCTCTTGAAGTCCAGTCAGAGGAAAACATTCTAAATTTCAAATTCTGATTTATATGTTTGGAGGCATTTGCACTGTAGTCATAAGATTTGACCTACCAACTCTCCAGGAAAAACTGGTTGAGCCACCTGTCCTTTCTGTAGTAGGATACTGTAACAATTTTAGAATTACTGGTTGAATAAATTGTGATTTATATCATTCAGAAAACCTTTTACTGAGCTTTACTCTAGTGCTGAGCATTGGTCTATTTTGGCAGAATGACATACTTATCCAGATTAAGGGGTGGAGAGCCAGTGTATTCTCCACTCCAATTCCCTACTTCCAAAATAGAACCACAGTCTGGTTTAACAAGTTGGGCTACAGTTTCATAATACAACCCCTACCCTTGTGACTAAGCTCTCTCCCTGGCAGTCTTGATTCATCTTAATTTGATGTCTGAAGAGTTAACAATACCTAGGAAGGTGTATAGACATTATGAAGTACAACCCATTTGTGGTTGGTTTTTTGCTTGTTTGTTTTGGGTGAGTAGGTAAACTGAGGCATAGGGAGGCAAAGTGACTTAGTATTTAATACTTGACATAAAATTGTATGTCGACACCACCTTCCTAATCTAAGAGTCAGATTTTTCTTGACCTAGTGAAAGCCTGAGCATATAAAGACTTGGTTTGTTTGGGGGGGGGGTGTTTTTCTTTTTTTTCATTCAGTTCCGACTCCCCATAATTATCACCACTCACTGCCTTCCTTGTTCCAGTTTTCAGTATCTGTTTCAGTTAGTTCGTGATCCTTGACAGTAGAATAGCTATTCTACTGGTATTCTGTGGCCTGTAAGAAAGCCTTTGGGTTCATTCAAGGAGGGAAGGGAGGGCACATCTGGGAAAGGGTAGAAAGCATGCTGTTCCCAACCCTCTCCTAGGCTTGTGCTCCCCATTTAGAGACTAATAGGCTGCTTAGACTGTTATCTCCACCTTAAAATAGTTTTGCTTTTGGGGGGGTAGAACTTGGGAAATGGGGGAGATTGGGAGAGGGATGTATTCTTACTCGACCACCGAAGTATGTTTGGGGAAGGTTGCTGTTGCCTGTCACCTTTGTCTAATCCTGTGTGGTGACTTTCATTCTCGGATTAAAAATTTCCTTGTTTCCTGTGAGGCATGTTGTACCAAATTGGGCTTCATAACTCACCTTTGTTTTTTTCCTTCCCTTTCCTTCTTTATCCCCTTTTTTGCTTTCCTCCTCCAGCTGTGCTTCCTGTGTCTTCAGCCTTGAGTGTCACTGCTGCCTTAGGGCAGCCTGAATCTACCCTTCCCCCTCCTTGCTCCCTGGCCCCCCAACAATGCCCTCTGGCAACCCCTAACCAGCCTTCCCCATTCCTTTCTCCCTCTAGTGTTGTCTCAACCCCTTTTGAAGCTCCTTTTCCCCAGTCATCCTCTGGAACAGCCCTGCCTTTGGGAGTTTCCCCTTCCCCCAATGATACCCCAACTTTCCTACCAAACCTGATAGGGCCTCCCATCTCCCCAGCTGCCTTAGCTCTGGCCTCTCCCATGATAACTCCAGCTGTGAAAGGTACCCATTCCTCTTCAGCTCCCTTGGCTCTGGTGGCTTTGGCTCCCCACTCAGTTCAGAAGAGCTCTGCTTATCCACTTAACCCTCTTAGTTCACCTCCTTTGATTGCTGTGACTGAGTCAGGGTCAGTGACATCTCTGTCTGCTCCCATTGTTTCCTCAGAACCAAAGACCTCTCCTATCCAAGCTCCCGTGCAAGTAGGCCCTAATTCAAAAGGCACCCCCATCCCTCCAGGTATAGTCAATGCTGTTCCTTCCCATCTTGGAACTCCCTTGGCCTCTGTTCAGTGTGGAGTAGCCTCATGTCCTCAGATGCCACCCATCACTCCCCCAGCCATCATTCCCCCCCTGTTCAAAGACATCCCTATTTCCTCACAAAACCCTGAAGGCCTCAGCCTAAAGGGACCCCTTAGTTCACCTGCTGCGTTATCTCTTTCCACCCAGTCTGTATCTGTGGCTCCCAGCGTCCCTCCAGTTTTCCTCACTTCTCTAGGCTCTCATCTTGCACCTTTACATCAGAGTTCTCTTGGTTCTCCCTTAGGTCAAACAGGCCCTAATGTTCTGTCAAATCCTGCCGTTTCTGCAGATCATTCTCCCGTAGGGGCCTCTTACCCTTCTCAGATTCCTCCCCTTCCTTCCAGAAATGAGGTGGCTCCTGCTGCTGTGGCTGCTTTTCCAGTGGGGGCTTCAGCTGCCCCTCTGGCTCTTTCTGTTGAGAAAGACCCCTCTGCCATCACTGGCATAGCTTCCTTCAGCCCTTCTGGCTCATCAAATGTAGCTATCTCTTCTCCGTTATCTCCTACAGCCTCTCTCATTCTGAAAGGCTCTCCTAATGCCACTCATCATCAGCCTTTGGTGGCCCAAATTCCTTCTCCTCCAGGGAGTCCAAGCTTGAAAGAAGCTTCTGTTTGTTCTGTTGGAACCATCCCATTTGTTATGACTAACCCCTCTACAGTTTCTGCGGCACCTACTACCTTTGAGGTAGCTACTTGTATGTCATCTCCAGTTTCATCCGGCCCCGTAAGTAGTAAGGACTCAGCTTCCCATACTGCCTTGGTTATAGCTCCTGTGGCTCCCAAAGTACTTTCTACTCCTCAGGTAACCCCTCTGGGAATACCAGTCCCTCCTTCTCTGCCAGCCTCTGAGAACCCCAAAAGTCTCCCTGCATCAGCATTGGTAAAGTTACCGACACAAAAAGATACCCAAACTGAACCTCCCTCTCCTACTGGAGCCCCTGTATCACCAGCACAGGCAGGACTCCCTACCAAGAAAGACTCTACTCTAATACCATTGGCCCTGGCAACCCCTAAAAATCCCCCCTCTCCCCAAAGTATATCATCATCTCTGGAGATAGCTCTTTCTCCTGAAGCCACTTTAGCAAAGAAAAGCCTTGTAGAGCCTTCCCCCGTAGTTACGCCAGCCAGTACTGCTCCCTCTCCTCTGGGTGTTAACTCCCCAACCTCTATAAGCAAGACAGATCCTTGTGCAAGTCCATACCCTACTAGTCTGCTTCTCAAAAGTTCTCTCCCTACCCCAAACATAGCTACATTTCCTCTGGAACATGCTGCTACTGTAGGAGTGGCTCCTACAATTACCAAAGGTACCTCCACTTCTGCCACTACAGCCAACCCTTTTCTAGGAGATGTCTCTTTAGCTCATAAAAGCCACCCAGATAAGAAGGGTAGTTCCACTCTTACTATTTTACCCTTGGTTCCCCCAGCCTCTGAAAGTTGCCCTGTAGCTCCAACTGTGACTTTATCCCCCCAGAATGTTTCTGCTTTTCCAGTTGCCATGGCACTAGCCCCTGATATTCCCAAGGCTGAGCTCTTTCCCTCTCTTCCTCCTCAAGGTGCAAAGAAAGCTCACAGTACTTCTCATACCTCTGCATTGGCACCTGTGACTTCCTCTCCTGAAGGGCATCCAACCAAGGACTCTGGTGCTTCTGTTAATGCATCTTCTGAAGGAGCTTACTTGGCTGACTCTCCATCTCCTTTAGGGACTAGTGTGTCTCCTCAAACTAAAAGACGTCCAACCAAGAGGGGTTCAGCTCCTTCTGCGACTTTAACTCTTTCTCCTCTTTCAAAAAGTGTTCCTGCTGTCCCTGATATTCCTGTTGGAAATCACTCATCCCCTATTTCTCCAGTTGAAGCTTCCTTTCTTCCAGAGGCCAGTCTTTCTTTTCAAGTCCCTAAAGGGTCACTGGCCAAGAAGCATTCCCCCACTCCATCCCCCAAAGAGACCCCAGATACCCCATCGCCCAAAGAGGCCTTCACTCCCTTCACTCCAGCTGTGGTTCCTTCCTCCACCAAAGGAGCCCCAGCAACCTCATCCCCCAAGAAGTCACAAGCAGCTCCAGCCCCCAGAAGAGCCCCAGCTACTCCATCTCCCAAAGGGACCCCCACTGCCCCAGCTGTGGCTCCTCCCTCCCCCAAAGGGGGCCAAGCAACCCCATCCCCTAAAGAGACCTCTCCTCCCCCAGCTATGACTCCTTCCTCCCCCAAAAAGTCCCCAGCTACCCAACCTCCCAGAGGGGCCCCCACCACCCAAGCTGTGCCTCCCCCCTCCCCCAAAGAGTCCCCAACTACCCAGCCTCCCAAAAGAGCCCCAACTACTCCATCTCTCAGAGGGGCCCCCACTGCCCCAGCTGTGGCTCCTCCCTCCCCCAAAGGGGGCCCAGCAACC